GGTCCGCGGGAGTGGCTGACCCTGGCGGCTTCTGCTGCTGGAGCCTGGGAGGACAGACGCGGGAGAAGAGCAAAAGGAACAACAAGAGAGACATTTTCAGAATCTCGCTGGGGACTGAGCCCGAGAGCCCTGCATCCCAAGCATCCCAAGAGCTCTATGGGAGCTCGAGAGAGGGGAGACCAGGGCACAGATGGATAAACTGAGGCCCATGCTCCCATGCTCCCCAGCAGGGCCTCCACCCTTCCGGGCTGCTGCCTAACGGGCTTTTGCAGCCTCTCTGATGCCTCTGCGTCATCCCTAAAATTCACATAGATTTTGCGCTGTACTCTACAATATACCCGTCTGTACTGAATATAAATATTTGCTTCAGCTGCCCCCTGGTGCACCTGGTGTATAGGCCCCAGCGGCTCCTTCAACCTTTCCCAAGCCTGACCTCCCTGGCACTCCTCAGCATAGGCTCACTGTCGCCATTCCCGTCCTGAAGCAGAAGAGAGACTTAGTTGGGGAGGTGGTAGGTAGACAGAGGTGTAGGTGAGGGTCCTTCCTGAGTGGTCCATGGGGAAGCCCCTGCTGGTGGAGGCTGTCTGTGGCCCCCCTTTGCCCACCCTGGGACTGGGTGCTGATGCTCACCTGCTGGTGATGGCTGTGTCAGATGCCAGGGCTGTGCCAGGGGGTCCTCCGGAGGGCTGCTGGGCTGCAGCCGGCGCCTGCACCTGCGTGGGCATGCGGATGCTGATGGGGCGGGGGATCCGGCTCCGGGCGAGTAGTGCCCGGCCAGCCCTCCTGGGCACCGCAGGCTCGGAGGCAGGTGTGTCCTCCTCGGAGCCGGTGCCTGAGAGGGTCTCAGAGGCTCGGCGCTGCTCCTCACTGGAGGAGGACGAAGCCCCAGAGGCCAGTCGCAACAGCAGGCGGCCCTGCCTCTTCTCCATCACCAGCCGGGCCAGGTCCTGCTGTGGCCGAGCCCGCTTGCCCCACCGCTCTTTGGCCGACAGTGAGCCCGAGGGCTCTGAGCCTGTGTCCTCCTCAGACAACAAGACAGGTATACGGCTCCTGAGGCGAGGGCCTGGCCTGGCCTGGTGGCTGGGGGAACTGGCGGTCAGTTTCTCAGGGCCTGGTCCCAGCGGGGATGCTGGGGCTGGCCCGTCGGCAAGGGCTGGGCCATTGGGCAGTGAGTCCGTGGGCACCTCCGAGGGGGTGTCCTGGGGGAGGCCGGGCAGGGTGTGGCTCTCCATCTCAGCCACATCCAGCCCTGACTGGGCAACGCCATTCTCCAAGGGTATAGAGGCCCCTTCTTCCGCAGCTCTCCCATCAGAAGTCATCTCCAGGCCCAGCTCGCCCCCAGCGCCCAGTTCCTCAGGCTGAGAGCCTTGTCCACCGGAAGACATAACGTTGAGGTGGGTTTTTTCAGCAATATGCACAAAGGTCCTCTCGACTTTGGTGAAGGGTGAGGAGGTGACCGCCACTCCCCCTGCTCCTGTGGTCACTGCCCCGGCCCCGGCTCCTGGCCCTGTTCCAGACCCAGGGGGCTTGGGCTCGGACTTGAGGACAGAGGAGAGGGTGCCTGGCTCAGACACGTCCAACTGGCTGCCGGTGGGCTGGGGCCGCTCGTGCTGAGGCGTGAGGGCCGCTAGGGTGCCCAGGTCCGGGTCCGGGGCCAGGTCGGCAGTGACGGGCGACTTCTTCATGTCACCAGGGGAGACGAGCACCAGCGTTTTGGAGCCCTCCTCAGGCTCCAGGTCCCCGTCAGCCATGGAGGCCCGACCCCTGGACTCCTTCTGGTCATCCGCCAGCAGTGTGGATGGGGCCCCCTCCTGGCTGCGGTCAGTGCTCCTCTCACTCCCCTCACTGCTGGAACCGCTGCGTGGCCCCAGCATCTCCCCCAGAGCCGCTGCTTCCTCCTCTTCCTCCTCTTCCTCCTCCTCCTCCTCCTCCTCATCTTCCTCCTCCTCCTCTTCGTCCTCCTCCTCTTCCTCTTCGTCCTCCTCCTCCTCTTCCTCCTCCTCCTCCTCTTCTTCTTGCTTGCCATTGGCTTGAGGCTGAACAGGAGCCAGCGGGACCTGGGGGGTGGTGAGCAGCATGTGCGAGAAGCCTACCCTCCGGACCCTGTTGAGCAACCGAGCCCGTTCGCGGTAGTCAGAGAGGTCTTTCTTGAAGTCCTGGTAGGGAAGGCTCAGAGGCACAGCTCGAGGGAGCCCGTTCACCTCGAACGGAGACACCATGGAGAACACCTGCAAGGGGCACACACAGGGACCCACTGAGGTCACCCGCCTCCCGGGCCTGGGGGGCCTCCCTGCGCCCACAGGCTGGGACCCCAACACGCCAAGGTGTGAGCGCCATGAGGGTCAGTGCTGCTGTTTCGCTCACTGCTCTACCCCCAGGACCGAGCACCTAGTCAGTGCTCAAGAAATCTCTGACAAGTGACTGTGTCTGTGCTCCAGTTCTCTCCCTTGAGACCCCTGAACCTGACAACTTTTCTGGTTCCCCTCCTCCTATCCCATACTCCTGTCCTTGCCAGACTCATCTCAAAACCCAGAGCCAGGACCCTCCCTGGTGGCGCAACGGGTCAGGACTCAGCACTGCAAGCTGGCC